GGGGGCTCCTCTTCCCCCTGCCTAGTCGAGAGGCGGTATCTCCTGCTCTGGCCAGTGCCGCTGAGAGCAGGCCCGGCGCTCCGCCGCTCCGTCTGCGGAACCGCAGAGTTCCGGGGCAGCACCGGTGCCGCCCCTGCGAGCGTGGGGCCTTGTCGCATAGACACCCTAAAAAAGAGTATTTGATTTGATTTTTTGAAAAAGGGTAATGCGTTACCTACCGAGGCTGTCTCGTTGGTTATTTCCAAGAAGGCATTACATCCTGTTGTTAATAATAAAGTGCGTGCGTTCTGTACTAGCGGCCGTGCTGGAGAGGACAAACTTGGAAAACGTGGTGTTCGGTCATAGGTTGGACTCGATAATCTCAGAGGTCTTTACCAGCCTCTGACTCTGAGAGGGATCACTGCAGAGAAAAGTACGGACAATTCCTCGCAGGAACAGGGGCAGATCGAGTGCACACAGTTTAGTCGTTTGTCAGAGCAGGTAATTCCTGCTCAGTAGCGGGTCTCTAACAAGAGTGGTAGTGGTAATTAGAAATTATTTTCTACTGCAAGTGTACTTGGCGTTTGTGTGTTTAATTCGGCTCACAGTAAGTACTTCAGTAATGCTTTTCTTGGTGTCTTAGAAACTTGTGGGAATGTAATGGAAATTTTGATGTTTGCATTGTATTCTTGCATTTCTGCATCAACTAGATCTGCATAAATGGTGAATTTTATCTGCTGTTAAGTCAAAGGCTCCCTTAGGGTTAATAGGGAGACAGAAGTAGACAATAAGCCCTCTGTAGCTAACTAATTTTTGTCTGTAATGGGTACACGACAAAATTTTTACAAGAACAGAGCTACTTGATTGAATTAGGGTTGTGATTTTAGGGAGAAATTTTGCAAAGAAGCAACATAGATCTTGACAGGCTTGAGAGGTGGGCTGATACAAACTTCATGAAGTTCAGCAAAGTGAAATGCAGGGTCCTGCACCTAGGTCGGGGCAATACCAGGCACACCAACAGGTTAGGTGGAGAATGGGTTGAGAGGAGCCGTATGAAGAAAGAGTTAAGTCTGATGGTTGATGAGAGGCTGGACATGAGCCAGATCTGAGCACTTGCAGCCGGAAAGCCAATTGTATCCTGGGCTGCATCCAAAGCAGCATGGGTATCAGGGCCAGGGATTCTGCTGCTCTGCTCTGCTCTGCTGTGCATTCAGCTCTGGGGCCTACAACATAAGAAGGACATGGAGCAAGTCCACAGGAGGCCACAAAATTGGTAAGAGGACTGCAGCCACCTCCCTTATGAAGACAGATTGAGAAGGTTGGGGCTGTCCAGCTTGAAGAAGGGAAGGTTGTCTGGAGACCTTATGGCAACCAATTTTCAGGGGACCTGCAGGGAAGCTGGAGAAGGACTCCTCATCAGGAGTGATGAGCGATCTTAGTGATCACTTCTCTTAGTGGTAAGACAAGGGGAAGATTTAGATGAGGTATTAGGAAGAAATTTGTTACTGTGAGGGAGGTGCAACACTGGAACGGGTTGCCCAGGGAAATTCTGGATGTGGTCAGGGCTGGTTTGGATAAGGCCTTGACCAACTTGGCCAACTGTCCCTGCTCATGGCAGGGGTGTTGGAACTAGATTATCTTTGAGGCTCTCTTCCATCTGAAGCCATTCTGATGTTCTAACAGCCAAAACCCCACTGTTAAGGATTAAGGATTGAATTCTTGAGATACCTGTTTGCTGGCTGTGTGGGTGAGGAGAGGAGAGCTGGTGTGCTCTGTGTCAGTTAGATTGAGCAGACATCTGTTTTACAGCATCTTACAGGCATCTTCAATACATGTAAGCACTCACTGCAAATAAACAAAACAAAATCAAATGTATATGTATGCTTTTGTCTTTCAGACCCCTTCTGCTGTCCAGAAGATAAAAGAGCTTCTGAAAGATAAACCTGACCATGTAAGTGTAGACAGGGTCAGTCTGTAGGGTATGCTAAGGTATTAGCACAGCTCATGATTGCAAAGCATTTCTAGCTTAGAGGTTTGAACTGAACCCTGAGGTGTTTGTTAGAGATGTTGACATCTTCTTTGGTGGGGAATGCATAAGCTTATTTGCATATCCAGCTTTGTCTTGTTATAAAATGAAATGAAGGAAGCAACTGACTGTAATTCACTGTACAGTTACTGTTGAGATTAATAAAGCTGGAAAAACTTTAAGCTTCAGATATTTTTGAGCTGCATTTTAATGAAACCCTTTAGTGTGGCATAGTAGTGATTTCTGATAGCAAGAGAGCTCTTCAGCTGTTACTTAAGTTCTTGTAGGAATTCTCATTGTGAAGTATGCAATAGTAAAATCATATTCATATGCATTGGAGAACATCTAAATCTTAGGCAACTTGCCAGACAAGGTGTTTTTTAAGTAACCAGTGTTTCACCAAATAATGAGTTTGTCATCTTTTCTTCTTTAGGGAAAGACACACAGAGTCTTCTTTTATAACAATTGTAAAAACAAGCATTAGTTTTGTTTTACAGTATTGTTTCAAGAATATTTCTTTTATCAACCAAGGCCATTGTTTATTTTGCTTCCTGCATGTTTGCAACTAACTAGATTTATTTGTTCTAATGTTTTAAACCATCCTAAGGAAGCCCTGGGCCTACAATTTATATTGTCAGTCATTTCCTGGCTGTAAATGGTGTTTGCATTTTCCAACCCATTATTTGTAGCAGTTCCTGTAGAGAAAGGTGTTTAATATGACAGGATCTGACGCAGTTTGTCTGGAGAGTCCATGTGATGAGAAATGTTACATTTTGATACATTTTTATCACAACATATAGACATAGATGATAAAATCTGCCTCTTCAGTTTCGAAGCACTGGTGTATAGAAAATGATATAGGTACTTCTTAAAGATTCTTACAAATAGTTTCCTACTTTGTTAAAACTTCTCAGTTTTTTCCTTACATGGATGCTCTTTTTGTGAGACTTGTTGAATGCTGTGAATGTTACAAACATTGACTAAGTTTACTTTGGTTAAAACAGTACACATGCACATATACTTGATTTAGGGAGGGGTTTGCTTCTTAAGTGAGGCTGGCTGTTGAGGTAATGAAAAATCCAAGTACATTTTTCAGAACTTTGGTTTCAAGTAAGTTTTCTGATGGTGTCATTACAAGAGTTCTGTGATAATCTAGTAATCACCCTTGTTTTGGCCTCACAGCTTCATAATTATGTTGCTGTGTATAATCTTGTCATTGTACCTGAATTGGCATCTGAGTAAACTGTACTTTGAAGTCACAAAAGTACCTGTCTTTGAAATTTAACTTTCTTTTTGAGACCTGGCTCCTACAGGTGTGCCAATGGTTTGTTACTTAAAAAACCTAACATACTCTATGGCATGATCCATTCCAGCAAGCATCAGATGGGTTTTTTTACTGTGGCAGTTAAACTGATAAAAGAAAAAAGAAAGGTACTTCTTATCTGTTACAGTAATTCACTTCTGCCTTTAGGCAGTGGAAAAAAATAAATGTCAGCATTTCATTGTTCTGCATACTTTTAACTTGATGTAATTTGATAGGTTTTAAAAAGGAAGTCATGCATGTGCTGGTTTTCGTTGTTTCTTTTTCTTTAGGTAGGTGTGAAAGTAGGTGTTCGTACAAGGGGATGCAATGGACTTTCTTACACATTAGAATATACAAAATCAAAAGGAGACTCTGATGAAGAAGTAGTTCAAGATGGTGAGTTTCTGGTGCAGCAGCGCAAGCTTCTGTGGTGGGAGAATGAAACCTGGTCATTTTGAGAGAAGAAATCTATATTGTCAAAGTTTTGTGCATTTTGTTGGCTTCACAGACTTTAAAAAGGGCTTAAAGTGATGGGTTGACATTACAGACAGTAACCCAATGAAATGGGTTACTGTCTGTAATGCATGGGAATTGTGCACTCAAGGTGAGATTTGTTGGCCTGTTCTACAGCTTTTTTCCCTCAGTGTCATTTTTTTCTGTCCCTTGTCAAAAGAAAAGACATTCATGTGCACACATAAGTAACAGTTCCAGACTTCTGTCAGACTTCTACAGGCAGAATGAAGGAAGACAGTGATGAAAGTGCCCCACATCAGGCCAGGGAAACCAAGTTGTAGTCTTAGCTTCCTTTTTTTTAAATTACCGGTCAGAAGAGAATTTCAAATCGAATGATGGTTTTGTTGTATGTAACTTCTGGTTTTCTCTTCTTTTCAAGGGGTTAGAGTGTTTATTGAAAAGAAGGCACAGCTGACACTTCTAGGAACTGAAATGGACTATGTAGAAGACAAACTGTCCAGTGAATTTGTCTTCAATAATCCAAACATCAAAGGAACATGTGGCTGTGGAGAAAGCTTTAACATCTGAAATTTCAGGACTACTTCTTTGAGCAGCCCAAAACACTTGCTATTATGATTTTCAGAAGCAGATGCATTTTCTTCAGCAAATGCACTTTGTAGGCTGCGTAAAGTGGGGATACTATTAAGAAAAATAAACTTAAGTATTTGAAAATATAAGCTGTGTGTTAAATTCCACCACTGATGTAGTTATGCTGTAATTTATGATGAATTAGCATCTAAAAGGTAAGAACAGTAAGTGCTACAGTAACATCTCTGTACTTCCACTTGCCAAGGAAATAAAATTTCACTGTTCTTTTTCTCTGTCATTTGCTTTGTCAATCCTACTCATACTTCCTCATTCTAAACCCATTTGAAAGAATACATTGTGTTCTGCTTTGATCTGGGGAAAACAAACCAATGAACAAAAAATCACAATCATTTCTATATGAGTATTTATAAAGATTTATATATACAAACACACAGTCCTTGCTTACTTTGTAGTTTTCCAATGCTTTCATCTTTTTACAGGTGTGTTTTCTGGTGGTTTATTTTCCCTTATATTCAGGGAAATAAAAATGTTCATGTATTAATATAGTGGTAGGCTATGGTAGCACCGGTTGTAGATACACTTTGAAGAGGACTAGCCTAATTTTAATTCTTTTCCTTTCTTTGTTGAAAGCACAGTCCCTGCTGTACTTGGTCATTTTCAAAGTATGAAGTGTCTGGGTGCTGGAGGGCTAAAAAATGATACACAGGCCTTGTTTTTCACATTTCAGTTTTTCATCTTGTCTCAATTAATTTGCAGTGGTGGTAAAACTGCTTCCACATTCTCATTCCCCATGTTCACAGAATGTGCTGTGTTTGCACCAAAATCTGTGAAAACTTTTTTTGAGAGACAGATCTCAGATTTCTCATTACTTTTTTTTTTTCTTTGTGATCATGCATGCTACTAATTTTGTTAGAGTTTGAATTCTTTTTCATAACTCTGTAGTAGAATTTTTTCACCAAAGTTTATGGTCCCCTATGTTTAACCTCTGTCTTGAGATTAACTTGATAACAGGAGAAAAAGTATTTTTAATTAGAAAAAAATCTTTAGTATTTCATATTATTTTTAAATTAATCTAGTCAGTAATTAAAATTCTGTAAGAGGATATAAGAGGATATTTTTTTTTTTTGGAATTTACTTAATCCGAATTATGTTTTTGTAAACAAGTGTCTTTCAAGCTTACACAGTCTTCAGCAGTTCTTCAGTGGTGCTGAGACAGAAGTGTAAATGTCTCTCCAGACCGTCCCAAAACCTGGTATGAGAGACGAACTGTTCCACCCTTTATCTCCTGATTGTCCAGAGATAACACTGTGCAGCTCGGGTGCTCACGTGCAGAAAAGAGCATACGTAACATTTCTCCTTGAGCAACAGATTGGACAGCTGGTGCAAATGGTGCAAATAAAAGTAGGGGGACAGCAGGAGTCTCGCAGGTGTAGAGATGGGAGTTACCTGAGAGCATTAAGGCTGCGTGTTGGAAATCCAGAGGTCATCTTGATGCAGACAGTTGTACCCACATGCCTGTCACCAACTGCTGTAGATGTAGGATTGCACCTACACTTTAGTTCTTCCCTCTGCACTTTTTCACAGGGCAAAGGGAAGAATAAAAATGAAAAAATAAAAAAAATATGCTTCATCTGCTTTATGTAGTGCACAGGAATAGAAGGTCAGAATTAATTACAGTCTAATAGTAAATACTTGAATTTTGGTTGTATATCACCTTTTGATGTAAAGACACTATTTCTTTCAACAGTCAACTATTGCACAGTTACTTTATATAGTGATTCAGGAATTGGTGGTAATACACTGGTCAAGTGCTTCTATAGTGATATAACTCTTTCAGTCTTGCCAAACAAAAACATGGAGTTCATGTGACATAGTTGCATTAAATCTAAAACTCCAAGCTAAGGGCATTTCTTCAGATTGCATTTCTCTGCTTCTTGCTAGAGATAACACTTCGAATGTGTAACACTGGTGGTTGCTAAGAATGCTGGTACTTACTCATTTATCTTGTTTTGGGGTGGAAGGGATTTATTTGATGTTTATTTTAGACCTGTGGCATGTATAGCAATCTTTTTTGTGTATTTGTGTATGCCTTGAATGGAAGTTTGCATTTTTGTACTCACATGAAGTAATCATTTTAAGTTGTCACCTTAATTACGACAACTAATGCACAGTGTGTTAAACTTCCGCTAAAGTGCTATTTACAGTTGCATACAAACTGTATGGTTTTGTTGATTGGTCCATTATAATTTTGTGCAACAATGTATGTAGAGTCCTCAATTATAATAATAAATATAGCCTGTTGGTAACCATGAAATACTCCTATCATGAATGATTTTTTAAACTAATAGAAAAGCATTGGATTAAAGAACAGGATTGTATGCTGGGATTACAAAGTAGACGCAATGCTGTTGTTGCGTGACTTAATATTTCCCCAAAATATTAAACATTTCCAGATATTAACAGCATTGAAATGGCATAGAAACATATGGCAAAAAAACTAGTTACCTATGTAAATATAAGATATTTATGTATATTGAGAGAGTGTGCTGTTTATGCATAGCCTTCTGTTAAAATTTATGACATGCTATTTTCAGCATTCAAAATTCTGGCAGACAAGATGAATATATTTTGAAGGCTTTCACATACCAAAAATCATTATGGTATGTTTCAATGCAGGATAATAAGCAACTGCTGATTAATAAGAAAATGCTGTAAAAGGTTTTTGAAACTGGCTAGGTGTTTCCAGGATGAGAGTCAAAAGGCATTCTTCACCATTCCACTTCAGTACTGTATCATGGCACTCATATTCTGTAGTATATTATGTCCGTGACACATTTGGAGTTTTCTCTTAGATATAGTCTTTGCACCTCTAAAGGTTCCTTTTGCTGTTATGTGAAGATTTTGAACAATAGAAGGTGAAGTAATGAATTCTGGAAAAACGTGAGAGATTCAATTGTATGTTCATGATGCTAGAGAGAGAGAGCAAAATCCTTCCTACAGTCAGCAGCCTGGAAAGGCTTTCTGTTGGGAGTTCTTATGGAAAGGCAGAAAGCCACTTGCTTTCTCAGCCAGGCTGGTATCACTGACCACATTTTATAGCTCTTTTTGGAGGGCTCAGGAAGAATTTGTTTAGGAAAAAATGGAGTAGCTCAGTATGCAAGTCAACTGGACCTCAGGTGATGGAACAAAATGAATAGGAGTTACAAAGTAAAATAGATTCAGAGACTGACTTTCTCATGCAAAAGAAACTTTTTTTTCTCTAACTTAATTCCTATATACTGTATGTTGCTTCTATTTGTTTTGTTGAGCTTTTTTGGTTTTGGGGTTTTTTTTGTAACTCTACCCATGTTTCTTTAAATCAGCACCTTCACCAGTGGAAAAAGTCTCCACCTATACCACTGTTGTGCTTAACACTGACTGCCTGGCTGTTCATGACACAAATTTCTTATGATGTTAAAATTTTGCAGTTTATTCTTAAAGAAGAATTCCTCAGTTTTCTGATGTGGCAGAGTATGCACCTCTGTCTTCATCCCAAAATAACCCTCAAAAGAGTACTTAAATTTTACAATAAAAGAATACTTTGAAATTACTTTTTCTCATGACCAAAACAACTTTTTGTCTGTGAAGTGACCTGCCAGACAGCGAGCATTTGGTCTGCCCCTTCTAACCCCTAAGAGATGTCCTGCTTCAATATGGTGAGGAAAATGTGCATACTGAGTGCAATTCTGCATGTATTTGGTCTTGAACAGCATTTGAATAGCAAATTTTGTGTGTGACTTCTGGCATTTTTCTTAAAGAGAGGTGCAACAAGGGAAGATTAACCACTCGGTGTTAGCAGGGTCTTCACCCTCACCTTTAATGCTCCCTTTCAGTGGGCTGTGCCTCAGCCTGTGTGCTGTACACCCCAAGCTCCTCTCACGAGAACCCAGGAGTCCCAGACCCTGTCTGTCTACAGGCAGGGTGGCAGGCCCGCACAGTCTGAATTCCCAGGGCTAGTTCATGGAAACAGTTACCTACTGACACTGGGTGGCAGCAAGTTTCCAGTCCACACGTTTCAAAAAGTGAATTGCCTCTTTCCTCATGTCTGTGTTGAAAGTTTCCTATTGGCTTTCCCAAATACCAGAGTACTTTTGCCTAGACAGGTGGAAAACATTGCTCAGCTCTGTTTTTTGTCTTTCTTGCATTCTGTTCTGTGCTTTTTATCTCTTCCTGACACCTGGCAAATGAGTGCAGAAATTCAAATTGCCAAACCATTTCCAAGATGGAAAGAAAGAAGAAGAGCTTTCTGACCAGATTTTGTTTTTGAAGCATTGGGTTTTTTCATCATTCCTCCTCATTTTCATAACTTCCTTCTAAGAGAGAGGCTGGCATTTGGCTGACTTTGGGTTCTGTACATAAACTCAGCAGAGATATATGAACTCTTACAGCTTCCTTAAGTTCACTTTCTACTTCTTAGTGATCAATTTTATGCACGTATCATAACACCGTTTTCCAGACAAAATCTTTAAACTATTGGACAATCAAGGCATAATGCAGAAAATTAGCGATTTTTTTTTTCACAGAGCAGTTGACATCTGCAGTCTATTACAAATATTTTAAGATATGCATATTACATGTGAATTCAAAGAAAATGTAACTATTGTGGACTGTTTGGGAACATGGTTCTTTGTCTCTCCTGTGATCATGCTTTTATTTTCATACTCAGCCTGTGATTCTTTTTTATACTCCACTTACATATTAAGATTTTTTTTCCAAAGATGATTTGTTCACATTGTATGATGATCAGTTGCTACCAAACAACTTTTATCAAAACTTCCAGTCTTCAAAAAATTTAAGCAGCAACAGAAAAATTCAGTCATCCAAGTAGTATATTTTTAGAGTCCTGCACCATCAATGTGAAGGTTTTCCAATATGCTTTTCAAGACTTGTTGTCATCCCTCACAAATACTAAAAATCAGCAGCAAGGTAACCATGTGGACCAAGCACACATCTCTCTCTTATGCTATGAAATTAGCAGTAAGATCTAACAACTGGGATACTACAGTGTGTAACAAACACAGCTTGCTTTCTAATGAGCCTATTATTAGCAATTGGTCACGAATAGATGCTGAAAAATCAACAAGAATAGGAATGAGAATCCCACACAATTCCATATCTGAAGATGTCAAACAGTTCTCTAAATCAAAGTGAACAGTACCTGTTGCTGGAGGACACAAAGAAGTTGGTCTGCAAGCCATTTCAAAAACTTAGGCTTACTTATGTGTTACTGTCAATTTCTTTGACCCAAGACAAATATTTCAGGGGGAGAAAAGGGAAAGAAATGTTGTGCAAA